CCACCTCCCGGCTTGCCCCGCCGCAGGACCGCGCGCGGCGCCGCGACCCTTCCGTCTACACCTATGTCTCTCAGCCGTGCCCCGACAAGATGCAGGTTGGGCCGCCCGCTTGCTGTCCTCGCGCACTCGGCCCTCTTTGCATTGCGCCTGCGCTCCACGGCAGCGCGGCAACGCCCTGCGGCGCTGCGGGCGCCCGGCTGCCGCGCCCGGCTGCCGTGCCTCACTGCTCGCCTTTGTCCGCCCCCCCTTCCGGCCGCTATCACAGGGCCGTGAGTGCCCCCGGGGCGACAACTGCCCCTACACGCACTCGGTAGCAGAGTACTGGTGAGGTCTGGGGCCGAGTACAGCACGTGCCGCTGTACCAGCATCTCTTTCCCGACCTTGTGGAGGACACGGATTGTTGCTCTTGCCTGCAAATATCACCCCCTTGAACTTCTAGTTGTGCCAACAAGCAACTCAACCGGCCCCGCCCAACCCCGCGTGCAGGCTGCACCCCTCGCGCTTCCGCACCCAGTTCTGCAAGCAGGGCCAGGGCTGCTGCCGCCGCCTGTGCTTCTTCGCCCACAGCGCGGCGGAGCTGCGGAGCCCAGCCGCCGGCGCGGCGCCTGCGGCCAACTCTCCAGGGTCGGCGTCGGCCGGCTCCGCCGCCTCGTCCTCGCCCGACGGCTGCGCGCCCGCGGCGCCCCCCGCGGCGCTCCTGGAGCCGCGCCAGCCGGCCCTCGCGGCCGCGCCGCCGGCCGGCGAGCCCGGCTTGACGCTCGCGCCCTGCTCAGGCGCGGGCGCGCGGGTGCAGGTGCTGCAGCAGGCTGACGCTGCCGGGGACGTGTGGCAGCAGCTGCTGCCTGCCGGCGACCCCGGCGGCCTGCTGTGCGTGCTGCCCACGCAAGACCAGCAGCAGCAGCAGCAGCGGCAGCAACTCTCGGCCGCGAACCTGTGTGCCCAGCAGCAGCAGCAGCAGCAGCAGATGCAGCAGATTCAGCAGCAGCAGCTCTGCCCGGCCGCGCCGTCCGACCCGCTGCTGGCGCTGCAGGCCAATGCGTTCGCCCGCCAGGCGCGCGAGCGGCGCTGCTCCTTTGAGGAGCGCAGTGCCCTGCGGCTGCGCGCGTACCTGGAGCAGCAGCAGTGCCTCACGCTGCCGCCCGACGCCCCGGCCGCCTCCGCCGCCGCAGCCGTTGCCGCGCTCGCCGCGCAGCAGGGCGCGGCGCAGCACCAGCAGCAGCAGCAGCAGGGCCAGCAGGGTGGCTGGGTGCAGTACACGCAGCCGCCGCCGCTCGCGCTGGCGTCCGCGCGGCGGTCGTCCGCCGCGAGCTACGCCTCTTATGGCGGCGCGTCGATGTTCCTATACGACCTGCCGGACTCGCCGACCGCGCAGGCGCAGGCGCAGCTGCTGAGCCACTTCGCGATGCCGCAGCCGCACTCGCGCCGCGCGTCGGCTGCCAGCTACATGGGCGGCGGCCAGCCGCTGCCAGACCTGCCAGAGGCGCTCATGCTGACCGGCGACTGCCCCGCGGGCGCGGGCGCGGCGGCGGCGCAGCAGCACCAAATGCTGCTGCCGCCGCTCTCTGGCCGCGCGGCGCGGCGCGCGTCGGCGGCGTCATACACAAGCTGCGGCACCGCGCTCCCGATGTCGCTGGACCTTGCTGCCGCGGGCGCCCGCGGCGCGCGGCGCTCCTCTGTTGCCAGCTACGCCAGCTCCGGCTTCAGCGGCGCAACCACCGTGCTGATGTCAGCGGACGGCGCCGCGCAGCTGCTCGGCGGCGCCGGCCCGCCGCCGCGCGCGCGGCGCG